AAATGCGGAGTTAAGGTTCATTCCTGACTTGCTTTTCCTAAAGTTAATAAGGAAAGGAGTGAAGCCAGTAAGTGATGAAAAGTCACTCATTCACTCATGTGTTTTAAGGTATAAGATTCTTGCATCGTCATTAGACTGATGTTTAAAAGAACGGCTACTGAGAAGCAAATTCTAGGTGCTTACTCTTGAAACCAATCTCAATGTCAATGCATTTAAATTCAATAAAATCTCCATAATTGTTCAGTGTCAAAACTATACAACCCCTATCGTAGCTATTAAAATAGCATTCAAAGTATAAACTCCTATGAAGCCAAACTCAATACCATTTAGTTCAATAAGTATCCACGCAATACGAACAAAACTCAGGAATACGAAATTTCACAATACCAATGTGTGTTGGTTGGAATGGTATTCAAGAGTAAGCCCCCTGGACGTAATTCGGTTCCGGATTTATTTCATCAGTGAATTATCTCTAAATTAGCATAGCACATAGGTACTTAGAATGTTTTTTCTAATAATGTCTCGATAAATGTCCAGTGTTAATAATAAACTTGACTCCAATTAGATACCAAAGCCTACCAGAGCAGGTACCTAAGTGTCAAAAATAATGACACTTAGGTATACCCTTTTATAAGAGGTTATTTACCTGCTTTCCATATTATATTTGCAGAGACCTTTACCTATTTAAAGGTTGCTATAAAAAGTATTAAAGTACTTCAGACAGTTTCGGATACTTGCACTTCTCTACGGGATAACTTTCTTTCATAATTAATGTATTACTCTCTTCAGAGAAACCTTGTTTATTGGTGAAAGCCTTGTTTCAAATTTACACGCTGATAGTAAGCAATTCTTATAGCTTCCTGAGAATTCTCTAATAGGTACCTATGTTTGCCGCTACAAATTATACTAAATTACTTCGATAAACGATTACAAGAAGATTGATCCTTTAGTTTATCGGGCACGATATTTTGTGTAGTGTTGACTGCTTTAGTTCCAGCAAAAATGCGCACCCGATCACGAAATTTATGTGATTCCTGCCAATTCGCGAATCATATATAATACTTTTCTTTTTTCGAATCCCAATTTATTCGCAGCTTCGAACTTGTCAGCGATGTGAAGCAATTATTTTGTTTATGTAACAACACAACTGGTTTGCAGTGGGTGTACATTTGTACAATAAAAATTACACCTCTACCCACCTCTTCCACGAATATCAGATGATACGCCCAATTACGCACAAGAAAGACACATTACGTCAAAATATTTATCACTGCTCTCGTCGTAAACAGAGTAAACTTTATACAATTTAACGAGGCAACCTAAAAGTTGGAAATCTTACCGCGGCAAGATAAATAAACGTGAATTGATTTTCTCTTAGCGGCTGGTTGTTTGCGAAAACCTTATTAATGTTGAGGGGTTTGCACACAACTACGCCATGTGCTTTATTATCTCGAGAACACGACCTAAAGATATGCAAATCACCACTGAACGATGCCACTCACTCCACCGAACCGACTAATCTTTGAATATTCTCTACTAGTCACACATAAATCAGATGACATTAGAATTTTAATTAATAAACACAAAACTTCTCCGTCGTCGCGAGACGTTTACTTAAGCCAATTAGTTGAGATTTAATTTACTCGCACGCATTCACAAACTACGTTGTCTTGTTACAGATGGGCCAATATATCGTCCCCGTGCTGCTCCTAGCGATTGTGGCTCTCTCCTCCAGCAAAGGAATGTTCTTCCAGTGTCCATAAATGACTTCAACAGAGAACAACTGGCTATGACAGCCATAACGACAATACATTTAGTGATAGATTTGAAAGAAGAAACGTACTCGATCAAATATACAAGATGTATGTCGCACAACAGCTGAAACCAGAATCTATAAATGATTTACGACCCAAATACGCAGATGAGGACAATAATGAGAATGATGATATTTTCAATATTCTCAGCAAAAACGATAACTACAATGGAGAGGGTTTCCGGAAAGAACAGTGGCATAATTATCCGAGACAATTAGATCGCCTCCACAACTTCTATGGTCGTGATACCGACAAAAGGAATTTCGACCCCGACCCGAATAAAGAACGATACCCTGATGAAGTTGCACCTGATAGAACCAACGAAATTTACTTAGACAGCAAACCTGCGACGAATAATGTCTACGATGCAGTGGCAGCTGCGCCTAACCCTTTATTTATATTAGAAATGCGTTTAGCATGCTTAAATAAAGATATTGGTAACGCCAATACCCAATATGGTAATCTCATAGATACTGGACTAGAAACTAATGTGAGAGAGGACGATAAGAATGAATTCAGGAATGAAAACCCCGAAGTGAGCGTAATTAAAGTGAAACGAGAAGGTGTAACTAGTTCACAAAGTAATGAGTCAACAGGTGAGTATGACATGCCAAAGAAAGAATCATGCTTTATCATCTTATGAAACTCAATAACAGATAATGCCGTTCAGGGACTTACTGAAATAATATCAAATCATTGTTAAAATATTTACTTATTCATTGCCTCTAAATTCAAAGATAATCTCGATAACACGGCGTTTTGGTGACTATAAAAATCATCTTAATTCCTACCAAATCCAAAATTTAGTTGATAAATATTTAGTTGCAAAAATCTAAGATGAATTTTAAACATTAACTAGTTGAGAATTACGCGACAAACAGCCATCCAAATTTAAAAAGTCCAAAATATAACCCAACTAATTTTATTCTGATATGTTTCAGACAATCAAACGCAGAACAAAGCAGTGAATAAAAGGATCTTCTCATTATGGAGTCGTCTGCAGAGCCTCAACCACAAAGGTCATGAGCTTGTAGCACATCGGCGACATCTACATTCGTTCACCGGTCAACTTGATTCTGATGGCGGAGGAGCCCTCACTGCAGAGACTCGTGCCACATTTCTACGACCCCCCGGCTCCCCACTAAGATGGGGATAAATCTACAAGGAATTGTTAAAATGGCTTTTATAATTTCGTACTAATTTGCAGTAACGCATTAGTTAGACCAGGAACGTGATAAGTATATCGGATGAAAGTAGTCCCATTGTTAAAATAGTAGCAAAAAAATTGTAACTGGCTGAAATTGGTCTATTAAGTACGACTTTTTTTTTAGAACCGCAACGCTTTTATATGATATTAATTATCTCTGGCCAGTTATATCATTGTCTAGTGATAGATGTGTGTGTTAACGACAAAAATGTGTATTTAAAGCAATAATATTAATTGGAATGCTCAGGTTTATACTATGTTCGATTAGCAGAATATAATAACTCGTGTTTCTTTACATGTGCTTGAATTTACTAAGATATTCATTTGAAGAAATATTTAACTCTCCGTTTGTAATAGTTATCAAAAAATATGTATTTTTAGTAAGTATAAAAAATGGGATCCCTTAAAATGCTGAATAGTACAATAAAACGACCAAATGTTTGCTATCGTTTTTGATGGTTGTCTGGTAGTAAATAACAATTTATAACAAATACTTATATTGACTGTTTATACATACGAGAACAATATTACTTTAAGTACCTATGTTAATCGAATATTAGATTTTAAAAACTGATTATGGACAGTACTGTACTTACTTTCGTTCTTGTGTGCAAAATTTCAATGCTTATTGTCTTCTGAACTAAAAAAAAACTATTTGTTAATAAATAATCCATAGAATATATCTATATAACTTCCACGTCTATTGTGTCTATAAGGTTAAAAAAACAAAAAGTATTTAAATAATATTAATAGTGATAATAAAGTAATTACGTATATTGCCATTATATATGTAAATAAAAAAAGTATTATCAGCTTCCATGTTTTATTTATCACCTCGAAGTATAATAACTTGAAAATTGGCGCCTAAAATGGAAATAGATTACAGCGACATCTAGTTGTTTAATGTGGAACTGTTTGAACAAATCAATAACCACAGATACTTACATGACAAATTAAGTTAGCTTTATTATAATCTTTTATCGTTCATAAAAGTATCAATCGATACCTATAATTTAATGAAAGTCATGCATAGAACATACATACTTATATAAAATGTAACCTTGGGATGATCGGCGTCGAATCGGACTGTCATGTTGACATAATAACATCAACATTGTTTTGATAAGATTTATCACGAAATTATTACATAATAAAAGTTATTCAAACAGCTGAATGGTAAGTAACAAACGTCTCTTTATTAAATAAAAACCTGAAATATTTCCAGCAACAAATTCGGGCGCATTAATAGTTAATTAGCTACCTTAATCATGCAGGTTAATTTATGTGTCAGTTGTAGGTAGATCACGGACGTAATCACTTGATTGATTTATGGTCAGTCTTGACAGGCTGTTTGTTGTTAAGCCTGTGTCAGTTTGTAATTAGATGTATATAACACAACACCTCATATTGTCATTAAACAATATTGAAAACGACTCGATTTTCTATCTAACTTCTTTGTGACATTGATTTTGACAGATCTGGTTATTTTAATTCAATTTTTTGAATTCCATTTTAGCTCCTATAATAAGATTTTAAGTGTAAAATAGTCGCCGTGTATATAAATAGGTGTTAGGTTAATGAACTTTAAACCTAACCTCAAAATATACGGAATAACTAATACCTGTCTATTTTGTTTATGCTTTTTGTTTATTAGCGGTTCCGTTTTATTGTGAGATACAGATAACTACTTAAATATGAAGTGTAGGGACTTGATAATAAAATATATACATAGTTATTTTAAACACCTATTAGGCGGCTAATCTAATGACCGTCCGGAATTTAATCATTATTTTAGACATATTTCATTATATAGGTAGGTTGATTAGTAAAAGACTGTTTGAAGCGTATTGATCTTATGATATAAGTACAAATGACTATCATAGTGTCTGTGTCATTTATAGGGATGAAATAAAATCACACTCAAACAAGAATTGCAATAGAATTTACAATTCTAGAACGAGTAAAATAAACGTATCTGAATGTCCCTTTCCTTTAAAACATGTTCAATCAAGCTTAAAGCAAATAATTCCCAAGTACTTATGTCTAGACTAGACACGTTTTATTTGTTATCGAGTGGATCTCGCATTACCACTATCAACAATACAACGATTGGAAATGTAAGATGTTTATTTTGCGACAGTTCAAACGACTCGTGTCGCGTTTGAAATACAAAGAAACTTTATATAGATAGGTGGTAGTTTTTATTTGTTTTGTTATCTTCCTAATATTATAAGTGCGAAAGTCTGTGTGTTTGTTTGTTTGTTTGTTACTCAATCACATCTGGATGCTTACTCTTGAAACCAATCTCAATGTTAATGCAATTTCAATCCAATAAAATCTCAATAATTATTCTTTGTCAAAACTATACAACCACAATCGTAGCTGTTAATATAGCATAGAGTACGAGATATAAAGCCAAACTCAATACCATTTAGTTCATTCAATATCCACGTAATACGGATGCAATGGGCGCTAGTATTGCAACTCAAGAGTACGAAATTTCACAATACCAATGTCGATCGATCGGAATTGGATTCAAGAGTAAGCCCCCTGAACGGGCGAATGGATCGGGTTGAAATTTGGAACAGGGTTAGATTATGGTCTGTAACACTGGTCTGTAATAACACATTGGCAAACCGTAGACAGTCGCTAATTAGGATTAAAGTATAATTACCTATCCGTATGTTGTCTAAAATTACAGTATTACAATACAGCTGTAGCTCACATTCAATGTGCTCTGTACTGAATCCTAACTTGATACGCCTTAGAATGAATAAATAGATAATAAGTAGACATTTCCTTACACACAGGACCGCCTCAATCACATCATAACACGGCCTCACTGTCCAAAATCTTCATTCTGGCATAATTCTAGGTAAAAGTTCCTTAATCATATTTTTTCAATTAGGTAAACTAAAATGCCGTTTTAATAATGTATTTAGTTATTATCTGGAACTGCTGTAGACTTAACGTATTGGCAGGGCTCCGGCTCGAAGAGCAGGAATAGGAAGAGGGTGGTTTTTAATCAGTAAGAGTCTGACACTTCCTCTCGCCTCACTCAATGCGGGAAAGTAACTGGATGATGGTCTCCTTAAAAAAATGTATTTAGTTTCAAAAACATTACCTCCTTTCTAAGGCTGAAAACCGTGCAATTCTCTACGCTTACTGGCTGTCATCATGCTCATGGAGGGTGCGGGCAGCTCTGCATTTCAAAGGCATTCCTTTCGAGGAGCGATCAATTGATATTGTCAAGACGAACCAGCAGAAGACTGAACAGTTTCGAGCCATCAATCCTGCGCAGAAAGTACCGGCTCTAGTAATAGGTAAGTCAAGTATTTCATATCTACATATTTATTAATGAGTACTTTATTACTTACCTACTTAGTCATTATCTGATGGAAGACGTCCATTACAGAAGATAAGCGGATGCCTATCTTCATAAGGAGGATTCCTTAAAGGAAGGTTTGCCATAATCTCTACTCTTAAGAGATCTTGAGCTCGCACTTAAGACTTGGAAAAACACTAGTGTGCGTCTCTCAGTTCTAAAATTTACCTAATCCATATCGCATCGTGTTTATTATATTCACAATAAAGATCTTATGTCTATATCTATTTATGTACTTAATTGAATAACAGCAATAATCTGCAATCATCAATTACCTACTCAATTATACAAAACTTACGCAGTAATGACGTAAGCATAACAATTTACGCTGACCCATCACAATGCGAATAATGTCTTTAGTATGTACTGTAGTGTCAGCTTATCTTGGCTGATTGTCTCAGAGTCTCAGAACTTTATCATTTATAGTAAAGTACCTATCCAATATTGTCTATCTGTTATTTCTAATATTCACTTCAGAATAGAATTATTCATTTGTCATTTTTTATAGAAGATCAATTTCTAAAGGCAGGTTTTAGTGTCGCACTGACCGAACGCTGACCGTCGGCGCTGACATCCGATATTTATGAACTTCGAAGAAGCGTTTTTGATTGACGCATAGCTATCTGCTCACACAATGGTCAACGCTGACAGCTACGTGGGCCCGAAGCGCAACACGTATGGCCTAGTCAGGACGATACTAAATCGAGCCACGTTTATCGTCAGCGCTGGCGGTCAGCGTGACACAAAAATCAGCCTTACGTGAGATTAAAGAAACAAATAACCAAAAAAATACTGCATTAGTAATGTCTCATAGTTTTTATACATATAATCAGGCACAAATACTCAGTAGCTTTATAACTTGTATTATAATGTAAGTACAGACGACATATTTATTGTCATCCTTTTGAACTATCCACACAAAGAAATATATCTAATCTTCATACTACGTTACTGGTTTTTGCCCAACATGTAGATGTTGACAGTTCATTTTTGTTAGTTTAATATCTTTTCAAACATATCTAGTTAATATTGAAAGAAATCAATAAACATACTCAGATACACACAAAGTTACGTCCTCGACCATAGGTTGGTCCTGAAAATAAATAATTCTTCGCCATCGTGATGAACATAATATAATGTCACTCGTTTTCGTTGTAAATACATGTGGGTTGATTGTACTCACAATATCCCAAAAGGGCCAAAAAGTAATTTCCCCTAGGCAAAAGAAATAATAAGTCATTTTCGTCAATTTCGCAGAAGATTTTACTACAAAATAATATGATTAAAATACGCGGACATATACATTTGTTGTTATGTTGAACTGTTTTCCGAGAAAACGTTGATTTAGTTCAGCATTATGAGGCAAATTTTCTTTTTGTGCCATGCCAGTACAAACCAAGACAATCATGAGGTCTTATCGACGCATCGGTGAGATGACATTACAGCAAAAATGTGAAAGATAGATAAACTACATCATACGCATACTTATTTAGAAACTAGTGAGTTGTACCTATATGACTCAAGAGACACTATGTTGTTAGGATAAAGGATTGAAGTTATGAATGTCTGAATATAAAAAAAAAACATCCCATGACCACCCATGTCAAAAAAGAACTTCATAGAAAACTATAAAATACACAAATACTCAAGCAAGCAAAATTCAAGAAAGGTGTAACAAATTCCCATAGAAAATCAAAGTCTACATTTTCATGTTCGAATTTTTTTTTCTTCGTTCCTTATACTTGCAATGTAGTGATTTACATCGTTGAACGTATGGTATGAGGCAATTATATCGACACGTTCATGTCGATAAAAACTCCTAATATACCAATATCCGTTCGATTTGATGAAAAGGAAATGAGTACAAAATATTCAGCTTTTCATGTTGATGTCGGTTTATCGATATGTAGGTAGATTTTAATTTGACAGAATGCGATAACTCTATTATGTTTTGGAAAAGGGTTAGTGGAATGTTTACGTGGATTTTCTACTCGACTATAATGATATTACCTGTAGCATTTATATTTAGATACATATAAAAAGTGGTTTGAACTGTTAGATTTGCTAGAATTTAAAAAGTCTGAAATATTCACGAATCGTGTAACGAAAACTTCATGTTGTATAGCCATATTAGCCATTAACATTATTAAGTTGAGTATTGTGTAATCATATCAACAGTAGTAAAGGGATAGTTTTAATCTTCCTACAATAGTTGTTAAACCCTCTTTTGTCAATTCTGTATTAACTGAAAGTCAGAAATAGTTGGGCTTGGCTGGCCATTTTCTACATGACTTCATTTCCAAATTCACTCTCCTTGTTTCGACCGTATTGACATTGTTGTTAGAACTATATTTAGAACTTTCCTGTGAGACATACCTTATATGTGCTAGTCAGAATGTTTCCTTAATATTCACTTCAAATATTTGTATTATAATGAAATCTGTTCAATTTTTATGTCGCAAAAGTTATTGATATATTATAATTACTTGAATTGCTGTTTATATTTAACGGTTTTAAAGTAAGAGTGCTAATTTGCAGCCTAATTTCAAACTAAATCACTATCGAAGCACTTCTTGTAAAGTTGTTAAGGATACAAAAGTAAAGATATGCAACCAAACAGTCTACCCATAAAAACTAAACCTTTCAATGAAAATCTCAGAAACCAAATAGAGAATGCTAATTACTCTCCTCCATATATCAACATTAAGTCCCAACCAACAAGTACAAGTAGACACAATAAATCTGCATAATCATTGGCTGACGTGTTCCTCATATTAGGCCATGTTCGGACATGCATTTAGTTCAATATTCGCTGATGTCATGCTGTCACAATAGCCTCTTGGCCCGATCGAGTGCACTTTGGTCCCGGCTAATAACCGGCTCATTAACACGTTTAATATACACTTCAATCACACGTAGGGTTGGCTACGTCCGGAATTTTCCAGACTTGTCCGAAATATAGGTCCTTGTCCGGAATGCAGGGGTATCCTTAGCCGTCCGGATTTTTTTTAAGTTACTTAAGCATCGAATAACATACGAGTAAATGTGGTTACTCTTATCCAGTTAGCTACATTTTTCTTTTAAATATCTGATGGGTCGATTTTTGATCACTATCTCGTTTTGTGGTAAGCGATGATGCGGTCTACGATGAAGCACGTCGTCCCATAAGCAACCTATTTTATTTTTCATCATTACAAATTATTGCAATTATTGTCAACTTAGTGGATGCCTACTAAGTTATGAAGCTTCATTGCTATTGTTATATATGTAATATTCAGGTAGACTCGACCAAAAGAGCGTCACACAGAGATATCCGTAAAAATATAGGTAAGCGAGTGCAAGTCCACTGGCGAACGTGGTCGATGGACAGGCTCCTCAGCCCTTCTTCGCATGTGCACGTTGTGACCGTTCATGATGCATAATAACATGAATTAAAAATATCGGAATTTTCACCAAAAGTCAGGAACTTTCTCCGGTATTTTGATGTTTTGATCTGAGAACCCTAAACACGCGTGATACTTTCACGCTTAAATTTGATTTCTCGTTTCGGATTGATAAGCTGTCAATCAAGGGAATGCGGTCAATCTGTGCTCGTAATTACAAGTGTTGGTCTGTGTTCGATAGTTTGTTGTGAACTATGTTTTGATTAATGATCCTTGTTGACGATTTTGTTTGATTTAGCGTGAATATCTGAGGGTAATTTGGTTATGAGAGCATTGAAAATTAGACTATCTAGAGCATAATATTATTATATTTTAAGCACGGTCAAGAGTTGCAAACTTTTGGAAAGCAAATAGATAGATTTATTTATTTATTTATTAAATGGTGAATCAACAGCTACATTACACAGATTTAGCAGAAAAATAGTAACATTGAGCCTACTGACAGAATTAAGAATACTGACTTAATAGGCAACAGCTAAGACAAAATTAAAATTATAAATATATCGTACGCACACAGCAAGAAAATTATTTATACATATTATTTGTATATCCTCTTGTATGTTGAAAGTTGCGGGTATAATGTGTTTTATACCGGGAGCCGATGTTTCAATAGATAAAAGGATATTTTACTTATATTTAATGAAGTAATTACAATGAGTAAATATATCAATTCTCTGCTACTTTAAAAAAACGCCTAGAAAAATATACGAGATAACCAAGTGTGAAGTATATGTGGTATGATATTATGATAAATAAAAATAAATAATTCGTAAACTAAAACAAGCAAAGAATCCTTTTATATCGTGTACTATATATTGTCATACATTGTTTTACTATTTAATTGCATCTACTCATGATTCGTGAACCTCCAATGGACTAAGTAGAAACAATTAGAGGCTAGACTCCAAGCTTATCTATGCCACAAGACAATCTCTTTACTCACAGATATAAATAGCAATAATTGGACCCGCATAGATTACATTCTATACTTAGATATTGCAACTAGTTTGTATGAAGCTGTATTTGAAACCTCGTCGATTTAGACTAGGCTTTTTGGCAATTATATTTTACTAGCTTTTACCCGCGGCTTCGCTCGCGTCACAAAAGGATAAAAAAAGCCAATATGACATATACGCACAGCGCTATACCAATACTTTTGTTTTCCCTCAGGAATATCAAATTTTTCCGGGATAAAAAGTACCCTATTATTTAATCCGGACTTCTAACTATACATCTGCAAAAATTCAAAGCAATCGGTTAAGTAGTTACGGCGTTAAAGTGGAACAAACAAACAAACTCACTTTCCGATTTATAATATAAGTAAGGAAGTAAGGATTTAATGCTTCACTAATAAAAGAGTTCACATCATCAGCTTATAAGTGGCTACTTGCCTACTTGTGACCAAAGGCCTCTTTTCACACGAAGAAGGTTTGAGCATTAATCGCCACGCTTGCTCAATGCGAGTTGGCGATTTTAAACTTATAATTAGAAATTATAAGCCCAGGTTTCCTCACGACGTTTTCCTTCACCGTTTGTCAGTTGTGTATTGATAAATCTATATATAATAAGAAAGTACAACATATACTGCCTCGTTGGCTGAGTGGTCGCAAGTGCGTCTACCGGACAAGAGGTCTCGGGTTCGATTCCCGGGTCGGGTAAAGTATTACTGGGTTTTAAAAAAAACTCAGTAGTAGCACGGAGTCTGGAAATGTGCCCGGTATATGGCTATAGGCTCACCCCCTATTACATAGGACTCATAACATAAATAGTGAAAAGTGGGTGTTACCTCTGTATGCACCGCTGCCTACACCTTCGGGGATAAAAGGCGTGATGTTATGTTATGTTATGTTATGTTACAACATATAACTCGGAAAAGACACATCGGTACTTGCTGTTGTACGCAGAACACGGATGGGTACAGAAGGAGATCTAAGGAGACCGATATAAACATATAAAAATTATGTTAAAAATAAAACAATTTCGTACAATGATACATGCCTTTACTCCTACTCGTATGCTAAGCCCATATACGATATACATTCAACAACCTCAGATATACATTCTTGATTCATTTGTTTCATGGTTTGAGGATTTCAAATTATTTTCCTGGTAATAAGCTGAAATGAAACTGCTTATGAAAAATTGCGGTGACATTTTGTTTCAAGAGATTTTGTGTAATGGAAGCGTTTATGAATAAAATAAATAAATTCAAGATGTAGATATAGTAGGTATCAAATCCAAGATAGATAGATAGAAGATACATAATTATAGTAGCAATTATTACTATTTATATAAAACAGTCAAGTGTGACTTTTATAAATAAAAATAGAATTACTTTTGTTTGTAAAGTATGTTTAGTATTTATATTTTTTTTAAATAACCAACTATATGGGCTTACCAACCCTGAAATAAATGGATACCCAAATACTGTCTTAAACATGGAATAGTAAAAGCTAGCTTTAAGTATTTAACCGCGAACAACTAGCAATTAAATACACTTATGAAATAAAATTAAACGTTTAATGAAAAACATCGCAATTAATTAAAAACTTTTCGGTTTCAATTATCGCAAAAATAAATATATGTATAATGCACTCAAACAAAATGAATTCCAACTAAAGTATTCTTAGATTCACAACCCATCAACGTTTACCATCAGTTGATAAGTGCAAGTTAATGGTCAATGCAGACCAAACAGAAAACTCATTAGGGTTGCTAATCTCCACACCCCTATAATTTACTATCTTCACCATTAGAGGTCCGTTACTCGTTTTGAAACGATTTACCAAAGATTACAGACTCTGATAAAAGGTTTATAGTATTTGGTAAAACAGGTTATATATGATAAAGATGTAAATTCTGTCTAGAATGTTCGACGAGTGTTGATTGTTTACGAGAAGTTTGCTTGTTATGTTTGTGTTTCGTTTTATAGCTAATTCTCATTCTTTAACCTAGAAATTAGTTGAATTTGTTTTTTAAACTTTTTATCTATAGCAGATCTGTGGCGGAGTTTTTAATATTAGACAACCCAAAGGTGAACTAAAAAAAAATCAAAATGACAATCATGGAACAATGGATGAAAAAGTAAGCACCAAACTAATAAAAAAAAACAGTTCCACAAAAACCGAATTCTATTTTCAAATCATAATGCTGGCCGCAAACAAATGGAATCATTACAATGCAGTCTAACATGGACCAAAAAGTTTTTAATCCTTGCTGAGTCAGTTGGGATTTATTGAGATGTCAAAAGCTGCAATATTAAAAATTCAAGCATTGTCGTTGGTGCGCGGCCTGCTACAATCAAACATCATTTGCGTGCTCGAGGCAACCGACCGTTTGTTTAAGTGGACCGGTCAATAACTCCGCAAATAGCTATTTAATGAATGTGTCGCCATCTAATATCATCGTACATAGAAAAACTCTGACTGAATTGGTAACTATTTGGGTCATTGAATCCTGTAAAGTGCCTCGTAATATATCTTTATGTTTACAGTTTGTTCAACTTTACACAGGCTGGCTAATAAAACTGCTATGTTAATTTTATACCATCTTTGAAGCAATGTTATTACTACAGCTTTATTTGAAATGGAAATAGTTCATATTTTCTTTATTAATAAAAGTTATTAGGGCTCAATCTGTGTGGAATTTTAATCTCAATAGATAGGCACCATATTGTGCTGAATATTATGGATATTGTCGAATTTAAGTAATTTTATAGGAATGTAGTATCTGCAAGTACTCTAAGTAATTTGTATAAACAGTTGTTTACCTCGTGGGTTTCAAACAAATGGACACAATAATATCTATCTGCGCAATCCAATTCACTTGGAATATTATTTGAAAACTTTTAAGAAAATAAGAAAAAGAACATTGTAAACAGAGACATAACGTACAAAATTATTCGCTCACTAAAGCCAAGTTTCTATGCAGAAAACTAGTGACGTAACCAATGTTGACGGCAATTATGTATGTGCTTTCAGGACAACGATCAAAGGTAGAACAGAAAACAAGAGCTAGCAAGCACAGCATAAACACATTTATCACCACACTACAAGGTTCAAATTGTCACAAATGAACTCGTGAAAATAATTTACCACTTGACAGCCTTATTTGTTCAAACTTTCCGCCTCGAGGAATTTCTAAAGTTCGCTTAATTTACCTGTAAATCAAATACGAGACGAATTAAGTGAATTATTTGACTGTTCAAGGGACACTGTTAGCGGCGGATCAATGAATAGTGAGACCTTCTAGCAAATTTAATGGTTCTGTAGTCACAACGGGACCAATCAACCGAGTTCCGATCAAATCGGTATCAATCGGAGTGGATATTTTTACAAAATCTTCGCTGGATTGAAGCGTTGATGGATCAGTGGCCTTTACCCACGCGGACTAGGGAAGTTCGTAAAACATTTCTATTGAAACCAAGAAAGGATTCGTACGCTGAACAACCCTATGGTAATATGTGTAGGATGTACCTACCCTACTGACAATGCCGAATGTTGATATTTTTGACTTTCGCAGGACATTTTAATTACTTTGAATGGAACATTAAAAATGCACAGAAGTAACTATTTTATTCTTTAATTGCAAATTATTCTTAAGTTTTGTTTAATCTGTAAAGTCGTTTCTGTTAAGTTAAAGCACGGCTCCGGCGTGGCGTTTTTTGGTTTGGAAACAATACAAAACGGCACCACCCGCGCGGTTACAGCTTTTTTATATTGATATTATGAAATATGTCATACGCCATATGATTTAAAGTTCATATTGAAAGGACATGTTAATTGCTGGGTTGGAGCTCTGCCGGAGCCGTGCTTGTTAGGTGTGTTCAAAGTGTATTTCTTCTATATATGCATATTCACATAACAAGAAGTCAGTATCTCAATTTTTTCATCAGCTTTCTATTCATCAGGGTTCGATTCCCGGGTCGGGCAAAGTATTACTGGGTTTTTAAATATTCTCAGTAGTAGCACGGAGTCTGGAATTGTGCCCGGTATATGGCAATAGGCTCACCCCCTATTACATGGAACTTATAACATAAATAGTGAAAAGTGGGTGTTACATTGTACAGTGGTATAATGTGCACCTCTGCCTACCCCTTCGGGGATAAAAAGGCGTGATGTTATGTTCTTTCTATTCAGGCACTTTTATAGGCGTTTATAATAAAGACGAGCCTTTTATCAAACCCTGGCCCTATGTTAGACTACGTGCTCTCTTTGTGCGTTCCTTTATTCGGTCCCCTATTGGTAAATACTCGTCGCTATCATTTATTTATTGGCTCAATTCAACTCACACTATTTGTCAGCATTGATTACGTCCTGTCAATGGTCAATCAATAGCTATCAATTCTTAACGTCGTGTTTATATTTAAATTCTTCATCTGCGATAGGATTTGTGATAATTTTGGTGAATTACTTAGAACAATAATAATTCATTTTGGTGAGCTTCTAACTTGTTTGGTGGTAAATCAGTTAAGAAATCAATAACATAACAAGAATAATTGCCGACACGGTTGATGCTGTTGCTGGGCAATCGGCCGCCGCGCAATTTGTCGCGGGTTCGATTCCCGCACGGAACAAGACTTTGTGTCAACCACAAATTATTGTTTCGGGTCTAGACCCGACATACACTGGCCGCCCAGTGTATGAGAAAATGTATGTTTGTACCCACGACACAGGAAAATATACTAGTGTGGAGCAACGTTATTAAAAAAAATTAAGCTGTGTTTTCTTGGCAGAAATGGCAGAAGACCACTCACAGTCTCCTACGTTTTTGCTAACAAGCTTTATGTTCCATCGTACCAGGCTGTGATCATGATGATACTGGGGACTGTTCCAGACTTAAGTCGTGTAGTCATGATCGTAAAATTAATCTCATACTCTGAAAATGACATTAAAAACGTAATTAGGCAACTAATGTCCAATTAAGGATTAATTACTTCCTTCCCCAATCCCTGAATCCCTAACAATCCTCAAATTCCTAATCCCCAAAATGTCATAACGCATTTGTTACGCCTCTTGTGTTTCGGATGTCCATCGGCGGCGCCGATTGCTTACCATCAGGTGATGCGGCTGCTCATTTACCGACATATCCTATAAAAAAATAAACAATATCTTATGTTCAGACAATGTCACATTGGTGGAGTCGATGGCTATCGTGCAGTACCTGGAGGACACTCATCCTGAACCAGCCCTGACTCCGAAGACACCTGTGCTGAGGGCTAGAATGAGGGAACTCTGTGAGGTAAGAACAAACTCAGACCAGGTGGAAACAAAAACAAAAGTCCCTTCATCTGCAAAGCGTGCGTGCTTATGAATGGAAGAATGGAGATCTTCAGGAACGTCTACAGTAATCCTTAATTCTTTTATCCAATTCCATTGTGTATTAGAACCTAAATTCTATTCAGAACTCATTGGATAATAAATCGGTGGATATAAGCACTGTGACTAGCTCTTAACCGTCCAAACTAATTACTAAAACTAAATAGTAACTAAGTAGTACCTAATTATCCGCTCCAGAGGATAAATCCTTATTTGTAGTATCTTCATAAATATCCGACAAATATTAAAAAAACAGCTTAGAGTGGAGAACAATATGAGAGGATCACACTGATCGACTAGAGATACACCTATAGCCTAAAAATCCTAAGTTAAAACATGTTTAATAACTTTTATAAAAAGGGTTCAAACTTTAACATAAAATATGAAAGTAAACATTTATAATTATAAACTTAAACGGGTAAGGAGTCTCGGGTTCGATTCCCGGGTCGGGCAAAGTAATACAGGCATTTAAAACATTTTCAGTAGTAGCATGGAGTCTGGAATCGTGCCCGGTATATGGCAATAGGCTCACCCCCTATTACATGGGACTCATAACATAAATAGTGAAAAGTGGGTGTTACATTGTACAGTGGCATAATCTAACCCTTCGGAGATAAAAGGCGTGATGTTATGTTATGTTATTAACTTAAATCACACTTCATTATATTTTATTTGACCCATATAAAGCTAATATCAAACCCTTTTAAAGACCGTATTACGCAAAGATAATAAATTCCAGCGCTAATACGCTGACAAAACATAAACCAATAATAAAAACGGTTAATGGCTAAACTTTCACTAACTGTTCTCTGAATTAGATAATTAATTGAATTTATCATTTAACCTGTCTCTGCCCCTATTAAAGGGGAATTTTCGAGGTGCTAGCTCCACTGGCGACACCTCTTTCACGAAGGGTCGGTAATTAGCATAAAGCTTTAAATTGTCAAGGGTCCTTCAAATTGAGTCAGCAAAAAATAATTCGTAAGAATTTTTTTTTAACTTAACACAACATTTTTAGGAAAGGGTTTACGTAAAATCTTTTGTCTTTTCCTTTTTATAGGTACCACTTTTAATCTTTTATCATACCTTTAGCAATGACAAATTTCTACTAAACATTATACTGTTAACGGATTTTAAATCTAACTAGCTGTTGCCCGCGACTTCGTCCGCGTAGATTAATGACTTCTGACAGAATTAATCAGAATCAATTCAGTGCTCGAGTAAGATTTACCTATTTTGAAATGATTTATCGTAGTTTCAATAAATAAATAATCCCGCAGGGATCTTACCAGTACAGTGCCCAATCACGTAAGGTTTGGGTAATAAAAACTATTCTATCGACTATTGTTGTACCGAATCTCTCTAAAATAAGTTCAGTGGTTAAGAGTTAGAGAGCCCTGGGGCATTGACGCATAGTTCCCGTTCCCGTGGGACATCTGTGATAAATACTATCAAACGTTACCCAGGTCCCAAATCATCGTTTTACCGAATGTAATTCTAAAAGATTCAATGATTCTACATTCAATGGCTAAGAAGATTTATACAAACTCTAATTCCCTATTTTATCCCTTTAGGCCTTTAGGGGTGAATTTATCATATCCTTTAGATATATCCTAAGTAGATACCTATGTCATAGTAACTTTATGCATGCAAAGTCTTAGCCCAATCGGTTTAAAACTGGCAAAGTATCATACAAACTTTCACCCCCTATTTTACCCACCTTGGGGTGAGTATGTTCAAAAACCTTTCTAAAGGGACGTTTACGTCATAATATCCATCTGCACGCCGAATTTCAACCCGATCGGTGTAAAACTGACAAAGCTTCATACAAACGTTCATCCCCTACATTACCACATTGGAGGTGGAAATGATCATAAATCCTTACTTGGGGATGCCTACGTCATAACGTCTTCCTGCATGTCAAATTTCAATCCGATCGATTTAAAACTGACAAAGTCCCATACAAACTTTCATCCCCTATTTTACTCCCTTGGGGGTGGAAATTATCAAAATCCTTTCAAAGCGGATGCTTACGTCATAACATCTATCTGCATGCCAAATTTCAACCTGATCGGTTTAAAACTGACAAAGGCTCATATAAACTTTCATCCCCTATTTTACCCACTTGGGGGTGGAAATTATCAAAATCCTTTCACAGCAGATACCTACGTCATAAACATCTATCTGCATGCCAAATTTCAACCCGATCGATTTAAAACTGACAATGTCTCATACAAACTTTCATCCCCTATTTTACCCACTTGGGGGTGGAAATTATAAATCCTTTCACAGCGGATGCCTACGTCATAACATCTATCTGCATGCCAAATTTCAACCCGATCGATTTAAAACTGACAATGTCTCATACAAACTTTCATCCCCTATTTTACCCCCTTGGGGGTGGAAATTATCAAAATCCTTTCAAAGTGGATGCTTACGTTATAACATCTATCTGCATGCCAAATTTCAACCCGATCGGTTTAAAACTGACAAAGTCTCATACAAACTTTCATCCCCTATTTTACCCCCATTGGGGGTGGAAATTATCAAAATCCTTTCACATCGGATGCTTACGTCATAACATCTATCTGCATGCCAAATTACAACCCGATCGGTTTAAAACTGACAAAGTCTCATACAAACTTTCATCCCCTATTTTACCCCCATTGGGGGTGGAAATTATCAAAATCCTTTCACATCGAATGCTTACGTCATAACATCTATCTGCATGCCAAATTACAACCCGATCGGTTTAAAACTGACAAAGTCTCATACAAAATTTCATCCCCTTTTTTACCCCCTTGGGGGTGGAAATTATCAAAATCCTTTCACAGCGGATGCTTATGTCATAACATCTATCTGCATGCCAAATTTCAACCCGATCAGTTAAAAACTGACAAAGTTTCATACAAACTTTCATCCCCTTTTTTACCCCCTTGGGGGTGGAAATTATCAAAATCCTTTCTTAGCGAATGCTTACGTCATAACATCTATCTGTATGCCAAATTATAGCCCAATCTGTCCAGCGGTTTGGGCTGTACGTTGATAGATCACTATGTCAGTCAGTCAGTCAGTCAATCACCTTTGAATTTTATATATATAGATGTTGTGTGTCTAATAGGTCTGGTTAGATATTAACAAGTATTCGAATTTTGCTATGCATAAAGATTATAATAGTTTGTTAAAGTTAACACATTTTATGGTATTAACCCCTTGGTTGCCTTGGCCCTTGCCACGGCTCTTGGTTACTATAGAGGTAGACTAAGACGCAGAATATACACACATTGACACAAAAGACATCTATCTGTCATCTATCTTAACTCTGGTAACGTGGTCACGCATTACACACGCACACATAAATGACCCACTGATATTTTAGTGCCTCAATCGTTTCTTAATGTCATTATGTCCGCCTTTTTTCTATTTTTTTTTTCTAGTGCTTGGTATCAACTTTAAACTTTTAAAACCTAATTTTACACATAAACACACTACAGTCAACAATTAGTCTCAAAAATCTCTCTTCTCGTCTATTCACAAAAGATAAGTTTACACAAATACTTTAACAGGTGGTAGTCTCCGGCATCCAGCCTCTACAGAATATCGGTCTGCGATCCCATTTCGACACGACAGAACAATACACGAAATTCACAAAATACTGGACGGACCGTGGCTTGAAGACCTTGGAGGATCTTCTGCAGAAATCTGCGGGAAAATATTGCGTCGGAGACCAGATCACGTTGGCTGATTTATGTCTGGTGCCTCAACTGTACAATGCTGTCACCAGGTAAGATAATGGAGATTTTATCTTAATTACGTTAGTCATAAAGTTTGTTTTTGTAGGACTGTAAAGTTAGGTCTCCATACAGAGTATGAAGTGTAAAAAATATTTTCAACTTATTTTACTTTATTATTCTAGTCAAGGACGTTCTCATTTTAGAGGATAATGTTTCTAAACAAAACGGAAAGGTGAACCTTAATAACAGTGGTAATTATTTCCAGAAAAATGTACGCGATATCTCATTCGACAAGCATAATTATAATGTAGATTTTAATAACTTGGGGTAGACTACGAGGTGGGCTTGCGAACCACTTCCCTCGAAAATTGCCGCGAGACACAAAGCTAACAACCTATGTTTTTATTCCATTACATACTTTTTTCCACAGATAATATTTTATCAACTAAACATATAAGACCTTAGCCATTCTTTTTTCACAAAGATCACGAATATTTACATTCAATTTCTTCACCGTATCAAGATTTAAGTTCAAGAAAAGTTTCGATTGAAAAAAATTACTATGTATTATAGTTAAGTACTTTTATCTTTTTCAGACACGCTCTGGACATCAGTAAATACCCAACAGTTTCGAAGCTATACGAAAGTTTGTTAAAAGAGAATGTTTTTAAAGAAACTCACCCTGAAAGTGTGAAATCGAAAATGTAAAATACTTACAGTACATTAAAGCGTAGAAGCGCGCCGCGGCCATATTAATAATTCAGACACGAAAATTGTATTGTACTTTCGCTACAATGTGTAGTTAATCCTTACAACACAAAATCAGAAATAACGACTCGGACAGCTTTCCAGAATAAATTCGAAGTACATTTAGACAGCTTCAGATGAGAATTTTTGAAATAACATTTTAATTAAAATAGTATCAGATTTTTCTTTAAATTTTGCCGTGTTCTGTTGTATTAACCGATATATGAAACTATAAACCAATTCATTTACAGTATTGCTTTTCATTTTTAGTTTCTTTCCTTTAACAATATATTGGGTATAGCTATATTTGAGAACGCATCCACGACGGCAAGACGCAGGAGAAAATTCTATGGTAAGTCAATTTCAGGTGTTTCTTGATTCAAAACGAAACAAGTATACAATTAACTTTGACTAAATCAATTACACGCTTTATTGACCTCATTGGCCCATATCACAGACACGCACAGATTCAATTCAAGGTTGGGCAAAGTGTTATTGGTCTATTAAATTTCGAAATACTCATAACTGGCGCGCTTCTGTCCAGTTGTATAAATTAATGGTGATGTAAGCTGAAGAACGGACATAAGGTAGGTGGACAGATGACCAGATAAATGTCATAGGAAGCTACGAGATGCTGGTATCTTCCTAACATCAAAACCGAAGGAACCGGCAGAGACCTGTGATCAACTGAAATGGCAACTAAAAGAATTTGTGGAACTGTACAACGTGCTCATATCAAAAAAACATTTACAAGAGGCATAAAACATATTTTACAATGTCAAAACAACACACACAGACAAAACATATTATCGTATTCCTGAAATCTTTTAACTCTGCCTAATGCATTTCCATTTCCGTAAATATATGAAGCAAAGTTAACAAAACAACCCATAACATAACTACCAACACGTTTGCCTTTCTTTATAGAAATTTCCAACATACCTATCTAGTTGAAGTGGTACTGAACTTACATAGAATGCTATCAGATAGAATAAAGCAAGTTACGACTGATTTTTCTATTCAGGCGAAAACAGTATGTATGTTACTATTACATGTTTACAAAATAACATGGACTTTCTTTTCAGTAATTTCTGAGTTACACTTTATCATAAATAACATAGACAAGAATTGTTCCTAAATTATACATTAGATAAGGGTTCCTTCAATAGTGTTGTATATTATATAATTATAATGTTCGTCTGGTGGATAATTTTAAAACATTAGACACGTATTTTTTCTTTTCTTACAAAATTAAATAATATTGATTTGAAATATCTTGTCACGTCACGAATCACTACATGTCATAGGGTAGCGTGACGTAACGACCTCTTCACTCCTAAACTTAACTCCGTTTTGTCTAAGTATTGTTTTCTTAAACGACAACAAAATGAAAAAAAAATATGTGTCTAATATTTTTTTATTATCTAACTGACGGACTAATAACATTTTTAATTTTCATACACTGTCTACTACCCTATTGTATGCCAATGCCGACATAATAAATAAGTACTGTGTAATGTGTCGTATGTATGTCTGCTTGTCTATATATAGCCAACTAGCGTCTGCCAGCGGCTTCGCTCGCGGTCCTGGGGGATAAAAAGCAGTATATGTGTTAGTCCAGACACAGACATAATCTATTCCTATTCCTTTCATCCCGATCCCTTCAGCCGTTTTGCCGTGAAGGACAAGTAACAGACAAACAAACAAACTTTTGCATTTACAATATTAGTAGGATGAGGCATTTTTTTTTAAGGAGGGAAAATTATCGAATGACTGCTCCCGCCTGGGTGAGGCGGGAGGGAGTATCAGACTCTTACTGACTAAAAACCACCCCGTTCCTTCTCCTGCACGTAGAGCCGGAGCCCCGGTTACCCGTTAGGTTCTCCGCGACTCCGAATCGGCATCAGCACTGTTGGGCCCCATCTGTGGTGGTCTGATGGCTCTTTGAAGCGCGCGCGGAACACGACGCGCCGAGGATGAGGCATAGCTTCCTCACCGCCTACAATACGATACATACATAAAAGATACTATCATAAATTGTTGAATTACTAACTCCGCATATTTAGGTCACAGCTGCAATAAGAAATATTACTCCTTGTGAATACTAACACGAATTGTCTACATACTTAGACAAATGGACAGATAGACGAATTTATGAACCATTATTCTTATTGTTCCTAATAAATACTGCCTCGTTGGCCGAGTGGTCGCAAGTGCGATTGCCGGACAAGGGGTCTCGGTTTCGATTCCCGGATTGGGCAAAGTAATACTGGGAATTTTTAACATTCTCAGTAGTAGCACGAAGTCTGGAATTGTGTCCAATATATGGCAATAAGCTCAGCTTCTATTACATGGGACTCATAACATAAATAGTATAAAGGTGTTACATTGTACAGTGGCATAATGTACACCTATGCCTAACCCTTCGGGGATAAAAGGCGTGATGTTATGTTATGTTAAACAAAGGCGATAATAAAGTATATTTGAACAAAGAATAAAATAGCAATAGAATATTATAATAATAGTTTATTGCATATGATAAGTATCGCCATATTTTGCACTGAATAGCTCTTTATACATGTCTATTAAAATATAAGTCTATTGAAAATACCTGGAGGTCATCCAGGGTTCTAGACTGACCTTAGGTGCTCTTAGTGTCGTAAATCAACGAATAGATTACTATACTTTAATGTAGTAACCAAGGTCCAATGAAAAAATAAATAATGGTTATTAGAATATGTTTTAACATGAGTCAAATAGACTTGGATTCCATATGTAGTACTAATCTAATCAAATAATTTAATTCAGTTGCAAACATGGGTTAGAAAAAGATACTATAGGTGTTTAATATTTAATTTTATAGTATGGTTCTCCACATTTTGCCGTTATGCCATGCAAATAATATACAAGTATTTCCTAAACAATTTATCTACAAGTTTAACTTGCACAACCACCGATACCTATATTCTCCGAAGGGGTAGGCAGATGCGCACATACTTTAACACCCAGTTAGTTATGTAACTTATTATTATTGGAATACGAGTTCACAATTTACAAACTTAAAACCAGCCCTACCCAACTGTAATAACGACGACCACAATTTCAGTAATAGGTATTGAAATTCCTTCCATTGATTACATCCAACAATTGATCCAAGGTTTCTTCGGCAAAAAGCAATTACGTTGATGAGTAACGTTTCTGTTTAATTCAGTAACTATGACAGCTATTGACATCGTTTTTATGTCTATTCATGACACATTACACCGACAACACAAAGAATTTTCAGGTATTTTTCATGAAATTACATTGAATTCAATAATTTTGAACATCGTCGAACTCGACCTTGGAATCGAATTTGTATATCAGTCGTATTAATGGTCTAAGAATATTGTACTGCACATATTTTTCTGAGAAAAATGTTTCATACGAGTAGCTTTTTTTAGATAAACCCACACAAGGCATCATTCACTTCAGTCAATTTCAGACAAGATGCATAACACTGGTATTCAAGTAGCGTCATATGTGTACCAATAAAAATATTACCAACGCCAACGCAATACTTCAATCGAAACACTCAAAACAGAAACACAGAAATAATATAAATACATTTAATTTTCTTTGTGTGTACAAAATCCTACGATTTCTGGGAAAATTTGAGGGATAATGTTATAGTCGCAAGTCAAAAGGGGGTACAACACGTGCAGTGAAGGTAACACGCAAAATGCTAGCTGATTCATACTTTTATTTAAGAAAAAAGCGGTCGTAAATCAGATCAATAAAGTCGAGTCATATGATTTTCATTCCTAAATGCCAGCGGGTTCCATACCTTCAGATGTGACATTTATAAATGAACAAAACCTTTTGCAACTGCTCCGTAAGAAAGAAACAATATTTATTTTTAGATTGAACGTGTATTTATGAATTCAGTCGGTGTAAATTCAGTACCTCACCGGTCTAGCACCGATCAGTCAATTTCTTCAATCATAAATATAAAATGTTAATAAAAATTTAGTTTTATAATGCATATTCCTTTGAGAATTTCATCAAGTTGATGGCAGTCAATAATTTTATATTATTTTAACATTTGAAAATGATTTTTTTCTCAATAAATCATCATTGTGACTTCAAACTCTACGCAACATGATGACGTCAGTAATCCCGATTTCGTACAAAATTCATAAAATATATACACGTTTGACAGTTCCAATAAAATAGTGGATTTGATTACATACTTGTAAAAAAGCAGTATCACAGAGAGAGTCATGAAAATTCAAAATTGTCAAAATCGAAATTAAAAATTCTCAAAAATCTTTATAAATTGCAGATCAATAAATAGCTTCGATTGAAAATGTCTCAAAGTCACGCTTTATGCTTGAGAATTGAATTGACATGTAAACTATCAGAAACATTTCTAAAGTTCGTTACATCAATTCAAGAAGCTGTTGACCGCAGGGACTGGTGTATCGCAATTATTTATTTTCATATATTTAAAATACATTATATAGTAGTATATAGTATATACACACATAGTATTACTGGGTTTTTATAAATCTCAGTAGTAGCACGGAGTCTGGAAAAATGTGCCCGGTATATGGCAATAGGCTCACCCCCTATTACATGGGACTCATAACATAAATAGTGAAAAGTGGGTGTTACATTGTACAGTGGCATTAAGTGCCGAAATGTGCACCTCTGCCTACCTCTTCGGGGATAAAAAGGCGTGATGTTATGTTATGTTGTTAAAATACATTATATAATAATACATTTATTTTTATCAAATAAAGAAAAAAAGACTTAATTCACGTAAAAAACCAAGTGACATGTGTTATTCTATTAGTAGGTATTGATGGATACATCTTCAAATAGATAATCAAGTACATATACACATTATGGAAACTTATTTACATCTAGTGTTACCACTTACTAAATAATATATATTTTGGTTATAATGTAAAATTGTA